GTCTGGTCATGTCTGATAGGGCGGTCTTCACGCTGCCGCCGTGTCAAATCGTGACAGACAGTGTGTTCAGGGTGCCGTACGCCTGCTGGTGTGATCTGGTGAAATTCGCCTGAGGTTGTCTGCACTAACTGCATCAATCGGATACTCAATGAGAAATGGAGATCCAGTAGGTTTTCGGCAAGGCTAGAATATGTTAATATCTAGGTGCGTTTCTCTTCCGTTTCTCCCTCTTTTCCTCCCTAACCCCTCCATTCTCTCTCTCTCTCTCTCTCTCTCTCTCTCTCTCTCTCTCTCTCTCTCTCTCTCTCTCTCTCTCTCTCTCTCTCTCTCTCTCTCTCTCTCTCTCTCTCTCTCTCTCTCTCTCTCTCTCTCTCTCTCTCTCTCTCTCTCTCTCTCTCTCTCTCTCTCTCTCTCTCTCTCTCTCTCTCTCTCTCTCTCTCTCTCTCTCTCTCTCTCTCTCTCTCTCTCTCTCTCTCTCTCCTCTCTCTCTCTCTCTCTCTCTCTCTCTCTCTCTCTCTCTCTCTCTCTCTCTCTCTCTCTTCTCTATCTCTCTCTCTCTCTCTCTCTCTCTCTCTCTCTATCTATCTCTCTATCTCTCTATCTCTCTATCTATCTATCTATCTATCTCTCTCTCTCTCTCTCTCTCTCTCTCTCTCTCTCTCTCTCTCTCTCTCTCTCTCTCTCTCTCTCTCTCTCTCTCTCTCTCTCTCTCTCTCTCTCTATCCTATCTCTATCTCTATCTCTATCTCTCTCTCCTCTCTCTCTCCTCTCCTCTCTCTCTCTCTCTCTCTCTCTCTCTCTCTCTCTCTCTCTCTCTTTCTCTCTCTCTCCCTCCCTCCCTCCCTCCCTCCCTCCCTCACATCTCATCCCTCCCACCTCCCTATCTCTCTCCATCCCATCTCTCCTCTCTCCACCCCTTTATCTGCAGCGTCCGGTGACAGTGGCTTCCGGCGCGGTGTGACGGCCGAAATACGTCCGGCTCAGCTGGAGTTAACTGGCCGCCGCCTGTCGCCGTATATCATAGACTGTTCCGCACGGTGAGTCGTTCCTCGGCCACTCCCCCGCAGGCCGGAGCGGCGGTGGCTGGATTGGACCAGAGGACTGGCCTAAGGCGCCGCTTCGTCCGCTGATGCGGACGGGAGTCATGGCTCAGTCTCGTGACTTCGTGAGAGAGGACCGTATCATGTGACGGTGAAAATCATGATGTCTGGAAGGGGGCTGTATCACTCCACTTTGGAGATCATGGTGTCGGAGAGGAGCCACAAATGGGCTGTCGCTGTCACGACTGCCGTTAATCCAACGTTCGGGATGGAGGTGGGATCGGGTTGTTTCCACAAAGTTTGCGCACTGCGATGCCGCCGGCACTGGTCTGCCGAGTTTCCTGGTCGGCTCGGAAAGCTCCCGAGCGTGAAGACACGGTACTTTTGCTGCGCCGCAGCTCCGAGAGCAACTATCTTCCGAACAGGATGTTGCATTGTGTTCATCAGCCAACTAAGAGAAACATTTAGCATATCTCTGAGGGGCGGACTACAATGAGCGAAGCAGTCTTATCTGAGCGGTTCCAGGAGCACAGCTGCTCTGTGCTCGGTGCCATTTCAGATTAGCTCGCTCCGATCAGACTGGGGAAGTCTCGTCTGGACTTCTTGTGAACAGACAAGTAAAGTCTGTTGGAAGCGATAGTCGCGAATCCCTGGAACGTATACTGGTACCCGGACACTGGCGCCGCGATGTCGGCAGCGGGGGCGGCAGGGGCAGCGACTGCGTGTGTGGGGTCACCTGCCAGCTGGCCGGCCCCGAGGGAGCTGTTGTCGCCCCTCTCATCTGGGCCGGCCACCTGGCGCTCTCGTCTCCACCCGGTACCGGCGCTGTCGCCGCTGACACCAGCGCGACACGCCGGGACGAGATGTGAGCCGCTCTAATTAGACTCGCGGAGCGGCGCACAGGTGGCGATGGCATCTCTCAGGCCCGCAGCTGGTGAGTGCCATGGAGCGGTTCGGGCATTTCCAGCCTGACTGTCATTCCAGAGTCCAGACGGTCCAGCCAGACTACTCACTACTACACTTTAGCCGTCATTAGATGGGCGACACACAGGGGTCCTGGAAGAGTATCTATTGACTATTTCGGTGATCATATTGTAGTCGGTAGGAACTAAAATCACGAACAAAGGTTTGCCTCGATGATGCTGTCGATCCAGGCTCATGGACCGCTGGGAGCCCACAGGAAGCGGCAGCGACACTGAGGTCCCACCGACCGGCCGGCCGGAGGTCGATTTACATGGCCCCGATGTAATGCCCACAGCTCACACAACCGTCGGCTGGTGAGGACGGTTCACATACGGCGGCGGTCGGTAAAACCGCCGGACGAGGACCGAAACGGTGCTGTGGCACCGAGGCCAGTCATCAGAAAGCACGGGACGTTTGACATTCATGCATAGATAATGCTGGCATCAAACAGCTTTCCTTACCTTCTCAGACTTGAGTGTCGCTGAGGATCGTAAGTACTGGTGTCTGACCTTTGCTACTGGGTGATCGCATGAGAGCTCTTACGAGTTGTAAGTTACTTTATCAGCAAATTGGGTTTCAAGAACACAATAGTTTGTCTTCAAAGCCATATGCATATTGACGCATTAATATGAGAGCAGTCTTGTCACGTGCGTTGGTCGCGGCTCAATATGCATGTAGACGATATATTGCCGTGACTTTGGAACTCGAGACACACATCCAGACTTCATACGGCGACGTCCGTACTAACATAGCGGTAAGGCCGAAATCCGGCTTTTACCATGCCACATGACGTCGCCATTGCACTAACACGTCTTCCAGGCTTTACAATGTCCGATGCACCTCGTGCTTGCACATGCACATATGCTTTGTTTATCCATAACCAGGTTAGTTGTGCTGCTATTTTTACTTAAGTAAATTAAGTTTTGCCAAAGAAAGCACACGGTTTATTACATAGAGTCTTATACACTGCCCATATTTCCATTAGTTTTGGAACATATGCAATATGCACTGCGTGTGTTAAGCTATGCCAATATTATACCATTGCAATATATCACACACGTCAGCAGCGGTGTACCGGTCGATGTGGGGAATCGCCGGGGCGATATTTTGTGAATATTACCACGGTGAGACAGCTGACAGGGCCCGTATTATCCGGCTATCATAGATCAGATCGGAATTCCGCCCAGCTTCTCATAAATCACACGGGGCTCGGCAGACGGCAGCAGCTGCCGCCGGCCCCCGTGCCACCAGCGGCAGTGAAACATCGCTTATCTGGGAATTATGCCTGGTAGAACACAGTTTTCCAAACATGTAAGCATCTTCCTTCACAGATCTCGTGGACCGGCGACTTATTTCCATGTTGAATTTGTATTTGGAGAAGTTGAGGAATACGTATGCTACGTATGGCGCTTACCTATCTAACTACGCTTATTATTCGCTAGTATGCTTATTGTGGACGGAGTTGGGTAGCAAACTTTGGTTATTTATTCGCCAAAGCATTGATAAACAGCAAAACTTTGAGTGTTTTGGTTGTATGTCGAGAAGGTAAACACCTGACGTTTTCGGAATCTCTCAGTTTTCTCCTAATCACCGGTTTCAGTCAGTTTGGCCGATACGCTATCTGCGTCCGGTGTCTCTGCTGCATGCCGACAGTGACTTGAAATGAGGTGCGCGTGCCTCGGAAAACCGCCCGAGGCGAAAGATGGTGATGTTTATGGTGGTCAGTTCCGCGCCCTGCCGCCAGGTGGCAGTGGCAGCGGCAGGTGTCCCCCGGGTGACCGGAGACCCCTGCCGTGGGCACGGGACTATCCGCGGGGCACAGGCTTGGGCGCTGACCGTTCCATGTGAGCGTCAGCGCCTGGACACGGCGCCCGGTGACCCGGCGGTGCTGAGCTCCCACCTGTCGCGCCGCGATCGGCCGGTAGAGGCCTCCTGTTGGCCAAGTTATGGACGCCCGGCGGGCCCAACTTTCTTCATATCGCGTCGTCACAGCATGCTGACATCGGAGCGCCGGGAACGCCACTGATTGGTTATCTCTTTCTTGCCCCAAGAAAGTCGACCGCAATTCGTGGTATTGGGTGCACATTTCTGATATCATGAACAAACTTTTTGTCGTCTTGGCAGCAGAAGCCGGTACCTAAGCCGGTGCCATCCGGTCATTGTTGGGACAAAGCACTTATTACTATTGCATGTGATGCTCCTTCTTGCTGTAGTTGCGCTGAAGGCGTATAATGCGGGTAGAGCTGGGCATACGAATATGCATTATTTAAATTTTGCAGCTCAATCAATCGTGACTAGATGTGGATTTGATTTGAACTGGAGGCCCAATGCCTCATCAATCAAGTTTGTTTGGTCGTTGGTCTAGCGGAAACTGTTTCTTATGGGAAAACTGCAAGTTATTGTGTTAAAATAACGACGAACGAGGCAATCGTTGTTCCTTTATTGTTCTCTGTGGACTAATATGGCCTCGAGCGTGATGTTCAAGTTGTTGTTTTTATCCGATGAGAAGGATTCCCGCGAGCCCACTATTGCCGAAACTTACACGTCCCAGTGTGACGCTATGTTGCGCCGCTCCGAATTTATGCAGCCGCTGTTTGGCCAGAATCTGGCTCGGAGCTTCGGCTGTCGGCGCCGCCGCTCGGGCTCCTCCATTCGTTCTCGTGTCTCCATTATCTCTTCAAATCGCGGCCGGACACTGCAGTTGCCACCGGACTGGGGTGGCTACAACCGGTTATCTGGTAGTATGTTAGAGGCTGCCATATTTCAGTCACCCGACGCTCATTCAAATCTAGTTGAGCGTGTGTTAACCCGGCGCTAACTTCGTACATACTGTAGTGAAGGTGTTTGACCCGTGAACGACGCTTACCGCCCCCTCCCCGTTCGATTCTGATTGCGTGTCGTATGCTCTTGTTGGTCACCAATCGTGTTCTTTCGCCGGCTGTTCTCTATGACCATCACTGACGTTCGGTCCTCTCCTGTTTCAGACATCACCCCGCGATGACGTCCATCAGTAACGGCTCGCTGGAGATGGCGTCACTGAACGTCAGCTCGCCGGACGAGATGACGGAGCTGATGGAGATGACTGACGAGGTCAGCTCCCTCACCTTGGCCACACAGATATTTGTCGGCACCTTCCTCTCTGCCATCATCATCCTGGCCGTGTCGGGCAACATCCTCGTCTGTGTGGCCGTGCTGACCGACCGCAACCTGCGCAAGATCGGCAACCTCTACATCGTGTCGCTCAGCTTCGCAGACATGACGCTGGCCGGCGCAGTGATGACGTTCGCGCTCACCAACGACTTGCTGGAGTACTGGCCGTTCGGCGCGCAGTTCTGCGACGTCTGGATCGCGTTCGACGTGCTCTGCAGCACGGCCAGCATCCTGAACCTGTGCGCCATCTCTCTGGACCGCTACATCCACATCAAGGACCCGCTGAGGTACGGCCGGCTGGTGACGCGCCGTGTGGTCACGCTCAGTATCGCCGCCATCTGGCTGATGGCTGTGCTCGTGTCGTTCGTGCCCATCTCGCTGGACCTGCACCGGCCGCCGGGACGCAGCGCCGAGCCGGTGGACGAGCGCGGCCTGCCGCAGTGCGCGCTGGACCTGACGCCGCTGTACGCGGTCGTCAGTAGCTGTATCAGCTTCTACGTGCCGTGTGTGGTGATGCTGGCCATCTACAGCCGGCTCTACCTCTACGCCAAGCGGCACGTGGAGAGCATCAAGGCGCTTACCAAGCCCGTGATGCTGGGTACGATTGACGGCGTGGCGCCGCCGCCGGCCTGTAACCGGTGTCACGTCTCCGAGGGCAAGGCAGCGACCACAGTGGGCATCATCGTCGGCGTGTTCCTCGTCTGCTATGTGCCGTTCTTCTGCGTCAACATCGTGGCCGCCTTCTGCAAGACGTGCGTGCCGCGGCTGGCCTTCCAGACGCTCTCCTGGTTCGGCTACAGCAACAGCAGCTTCAACCCCATCATCTATTCCATCTTCAACGTCGAGTTCCGCGAGGCGTTCGTGCGCATTTTCGGCAAGGTGCGCGGCGCGTTCGTGCGGCTCTGTCAGCGCGCGGGGGTGCCCACGCGGCCCCGGCAGCCGTCCCAGTGTAAGTCGGTGAGCTCGATGACGCGTCTGAGCACGGGCGCCGTCGTGGTGGACCTGGAGGTGACGACCAGTGAGCGGGTGACAGCCATCTGACGCAGCGCTGCCGTCACCGTCAGCGCGCCGGCCGCCGCGCCCGAGCCGGCGCCCCGCTCCCAGGAGCTGATGATATGACTGTGGGGGAAGGGGAGGGATGGTGCTGCTAGACTGTCACCACCGGCTGGTACCGGTGCTGTGCTGGTGTTGGTGATGTTGCTGGTGCCGATGTCGGTGCCCATGCTTGCTAGTCCTGGCTGTCAATGTCAAACCGGTGTGGTTGGCTGAGCCTTCTTGTTGCATGTTTGCGCGTATGAGGTGTGTATGTGCGAATTGTAAACGCTGTGCGTTCCAGGCCATAAACTACCGAAATGTCGCCACAGTTGTGGTTGTGACGCTATACTGAAGCTTTACTTGGCATTGTTGCTACTGATGTGAGCAAATTACTACTGTCCGAGTTGATGAGACAGGCTTGTTGAGAGCGTCTATGGGATCTCTTGTTTGCTATTTATTTGACCGGCATTGTTCCCGCGCGCCTGTCGTTGTGTGCCGACCGGTACCAATCCCGCGTAAGCCGCCCTGCTCTGTGCCCTATGTTGTGTGTCGCTGGTCGACCCGTGTCTGCAGCGGGTGTCCTGTATGCTCCGCTCTGTGAGCCACCTATGGCCGGGCCTCGCACCTAGTGCGACCGGTCCGCCGAGGGGGCGCTGCGGTCTCTGTGGTCCGCGGACCGGACCGCCGGACCACCCGTGAGCTTTGGGCCGTGCCCGCTGTGTCCCTGCCCGTCCGAACCGCTCCGTTGTACGTCGGAAAATACAAATGTCCGCGACCGACCGAGTGCTGTCGACTGGCTGGAGGGAGTGGTGCTAGCGACTGAGAGCCTCGAGAAGCTGTGGCGAGGACACAGATGGAAATAGCACCTTCATGGACCTATGCATCTCGAGCTCTATTGTGTATAATGTATATGTAACAGCTGAATTTTACGATTTAAGTGTAGAAGGGAAACAGTCATCCTCACTACACTTGAGAAGAACAGCGTTAGTAATTCCCATCGTATCGTATTCCTCATTCATGCAAATCGTTCGGCGAACGTGTACCAATACCATGCAAACACACAGCCGAACATTGCCGATGCTTTGGTCTTCCTTCGCTGCATCGCACTACATCAATATGGGACAGACGCGGGGGCGGTAGGCTCAGCTGTATGGTGGCGCGCCTGCCGAGCCGCCCCACACCAAATCGACCCTGCGATATCAATCATCACTTATCCCCGAGATCAGTGAACGCCGCGCACCGCATAACCAATGGCCTCGCCGCCATCGGTCTTCATTCGGAGAGCGAAATACAAAAAGGCGCGGCGCGGCAGGAGAAAAGGAACTCGTCGCAAGCGCTAAACCATTATTCACGTCGGTATGAATGACAATTATGGATATATGCGTACCTACTGTGCATTGCATTAAACATTCTGAGAACAGATAACGTTATGTCACAACTGAATAATATGCTAAGAAATGTGAGAAGGACGGCAATGTTACACATCAAAATTTCAGACTGAGGTAGAGGAAATGATCGTTTTCCGGGTATCGAGAGGCATGCCTGTTCCGGAATACGCATGCACACGTCGGTGTTTCACTTACACGCCGGTGAGGTCTAATTAGGGTGCTCTCTTTGGGGGCCGGGGGGGGAAGGCGGCCGATATACTGAAACCGATATCTGCTGCCGACATCTATCAACTTTCTGTACAACTTGAGAAAGATTCAAAGGCGCTGTTGTACCGGTAGGCGCTTTCATAAAATTTTGACGGCAGCGTCAGCCGCTCTTGAAGTTTTTTTTATTTTTTTTTCTCTCTCACCTCTTTATTATTAAATTTAACGAAACACAAGGACGTACAAATCACTTATGCAACACACACAAGCTACACGAATCACAATCAAAGAAGGACATAAACATGACATTGGCCCACATTCACGACACCAACCAAACAGGCTTTGGGCGGCAGGTCACGACCGATGGTCGGCGGATAACGGACGCGCGCGTCGCGCGTCGACGCTTCGTGCGTCGAGGCTGATTTCTCTGCGCACAGTGTAGCGCCGCACTGCGTACACATGCCATAAAGTATGCACGCGACGTCCAAGTGCCGGCACAACGACCATGTGAATTTATTTGCGGACAATATTCACTGAAACAAGCCTCCGTGGTTCCTGTATACGACTTTTTCCCATTTTTCCCAAAATTGGTCGAGCTTATCATCTTTTTTGGCAATCGCTTTTTCAATTTCGTGCTGGTTCATGACCATTTTTATCGCACCTTCTACACTCGGTTGTTGAGTAGAATTGTTTTGTAATTTACATGCTACGATATACTGCTTGCACAATAAAATTACTAAGTTAATTATATTTGGACTGGACGCACTACCGAGAAGCACCGTTTTGGCGTTTACGAAACTGTTTGGAAGTCGAAAGGCCGCCGCTATCTTACATAGCACCTTATCCCAGATTTCGCGAACATCAGTGCAGCGATAGAAGAAATGTTCGAGCGTATCTACCTCAAAGCATTTCAGGCATAATCTGCTACCAATAATGTTTCGTGAACATAGGAATTTACGTGTTGGAATATATCTGTGTATAATGCGAAAATGCAATGATTGTAATTTAGTAGACGTTGTTACTTTGTACGGTATCTCGTACATATCTCCCCAACAATAAAAAGAAATGCCCTCTTGTTCCCATTTGCATTGAGCGGTAGGTGTTTTAATCGTTAACAACTTTCTGTATATGTGATTACACATGAGTGCCCTCAAACAAACTTTCAAAGTGGCACTCACATTAATAAGGCAACATTTTCTATCATCTGGGTCCAGCATAGCCCTGGTGTTTAGCCTAACCATTTGTTTCCATTTGGATGGTATTGCATTTTTTATGCTCTGCAGTGTGAGGAAGTCAACTCTTAATTGTGGCATTTTTTCCTTCAGTTGACTGAAGCTTAGCATACTTCCATCGGGCCCAACTAAGTCATCTACTATTTTAATGCCAGCTTCATACATTTCCTTTTGAAAGGCAGGCTTCCCTCCAATTAATACCGTGTCATTATACCAAATCGATTCAGCTCTTGCTTGGAGGGCTTCGCAAGGTTCTTTATAAAATAACTCTTGATACTGGCCGACCACTTGTTTATAAAAAATCAGGAATGTTCGACTTTTTAACGAAGTGCCTAGCGTTACGGTTCCTTAGCAAATCATCAATGCTATATTTTCCTATGCGAGCCTGAATAATCTTTCTCCACTGCGAGTCCACATTTGTGTACATTCGTTTAACCCATTGCAACCTTAATGCATCATAAAACTTCAATGTATCCGGCGCTTTTAAGCCACCCTCTCTAATACCTAGGCACAAGACACTGGCGGCAACTTTCGGGGGTCTTCCCCGCCATAAAAACTTCATAATCAAACCTTGAATCGTTTGTAGGTCTACCTTAGGGATGCTCACAGAGGAAGCTAGATACACTAGTTGGGATGCGACAAGCGTCTTTGAAATGGTTATGCGTCCCTTTAACGTTAAGTGCCTCTGAGACCAATTGTTCAGCACATTCCTAAACCTTGTAATAACAGGTGCTACGTTTTCTTCCGCACAGTCAGCGACGGCGCTGTGGGTGATGCCAAGGATTTTCAACTTCGAGACAGCTTCAATTCCTTCCACGGCCTCCTTCCTAAATTTGGCTGATCCTACCCACATCAATTTCGTTTTCGTTCTGTTTATTTCAAGTCCAGAAACTTTTCTGAATTTGTCTAATACTTCTAATACTCTATGCACCGACGCTTCAGAGTTCAAGAATACCGTTGTATCATCGGCATACATGCTCAATTTTACTTCGATGCCAGCAATTGTAATTCCCTTGATTAGCCTATCTCTTCTTATCTTGTTCGCTAGTATTTCTCCTACTAAATTGAACAGTAAACCACTCAGCGGAGAACCTTGAAAAGTACCGCGACCGCACGCAAACCAGTTTGACGTAAAACCGTTATTGCAAACAGCCAGAAGTGAGCCGTTATATAAAAGCTTTATCCATGCTATCAATTCAGGACCAAAATTAAATGCTTTCAATGTATGCCAAATAAACTCGTGGTTGATTGAATCGAAGGCATTTTTGTAATCTACCGCTAATACTGCACCTCCTAAGTCATCTGATTCACAATAGTTTATTACATCTGCTATGAGTCTCGAATTTTCACCAATATACCTCCCTTTCAAGAACCCACTTTGATCTTTGTTTACCAATTTGTCAGCAACTTTCTTTATTCTTATCGCAATCACTTTGGCAATCAATTTATAAATAACATCTAGGAGACAAATGGGTCTCTTATTTGACAGCAACTTTTGATCACCTTTCTTAGGTATTAGCGTCAAAATCCCTCTTCTATGAGTGATGAATAATTGACCGTTATCTTTGGCATCGTTAAAATAGCTCACAACTATGTCCCCAATCTCATTCCAGAAGAAAGAGAAAAATTCGGCAGAAAATCCTGAGATTCCTGCTGCTTTATTTTTAGCCATGCCAAGTAATGCCGCACTGCATTCCTCTTTCGTTATATACCCTTCACATCTATTTTTCTCTTCCTCCGTTAATCTTGGGTCTTCATCGCTCAAGGCAAACTCATCTAGATATTCTTCGTTAGTTAATTGTTTTGAATAAAGCGATTGAAAGTGTTCAACGCACATGTTGAGAATAGGTCGATTACCTTGTATTAGCGATCCGTCATCAGTTTGGAGGGTGCTTATCGTTTTTTGCATCGCTCTCTGTTGTGCAGTTCTCATGAAATACCTAGTTGGCTTTTCCCCTTCTTCTGTCCATACTGTTTGAGATCTCAAAATCAGGGATGCGGAGCCGTGGAAATTTCAGACGGCTCCGGCTCCGGCTCCGGCTCCGGAGAAAAAAATCGGCTCCGGCTCCGGCTCCGGCTCCGGGTGAAATGTCATGGCGGCTCCGGCTCCGGCTCCGGCTCCGAGTAAAATGATCCAGCTCCGGCGGCTCCGGCTCCGGCGGCTCCGGCTCCGGCTCCGGCGGCTCCGGCTCCGGCTTCTACTCAGTACATCCCTTATGCGATCAATTAAATACGGGTGGAAGGAAAAAGGCGATGGGATTGGTACACGTTGTTTCTGTATTTGTATCACAAGGCTATTTTGAATACCACATTGTTTTACGCCTTGTACTGTCAAACCGAACTAGGTAAATAATTGTTTCCTCGTAAGAAAAAGAGCCGGAGTCGCCCCCTTTTTTGACGGCTCCGGCTCCGGCTCCGGCTCCGGGTTATATTGTTTCACGGCTCCGGCTCCGGCTCCGGCTCCGGGCAAAATATGCCGGCTCCGGCGGCTCCGGCTCCGGCTCCGGCTCCGGCTCCGCATCCCTGCTCAAAATTGCTGCCTTGCCACGGTTAATTTTGATCTCATCTAATCTTTGTCTGGTATTTTCGTACTCTTTGACCAGTTCCTCTGTCGGCGAACTGGCGAGCTTTGACTCACATTTACTTAATGCGTCATATAAAAGATTTTCTGTGCGACGTAGCTCGTACGCAATTTTCTTACTTCTTTTTATCGCAAGCACTCTTATGTTGCTTAATAGCATATCGATTATCACTCCTTTCTGAATGTTTTGCTGATAAGGTTCAGTTTTTATCAAAACTTTATTTATTTCAGACTTAGCTGCGTTAATGAATTCATCATCTAAAAGAAGGGAATTATTGAAGCGCCACAGACCGGGCCCTCGGGGTTCATCCGAAAAACAAAATGTTAACGTAATAAAGCTGTGGTCACTCAGGATGCCGGTATCGATATGGGCTTTTACTACATTGTTGTTGATTATCCAGCTGCTTACAAAAATCATATCAATTCGAGACTGCTGCAGAGGGTTTGTTCTCCTCCAAGTAAATTTTTTCTCCGTTGGGTGCAGTGTTCTCCAAGCATCTTCCAGAGAAAATTCTCCTATCAACTCTCCTAGTTTTTTACTAGCTCTGCTTTCCCGGAAGGAATGACTGTCAGTGTCGAGTGAACTTAATCTAATATTAAAGTCTCCCGCCATAACTATTTTAGCACAACTGAAATCAGTCAAGACTTGTCTCAGTTCATTTAAGAAATCGCATTTTACGTTTTGATCGTCAACGGCAGGTGCGTATACCCCTAACAACACTACTTTATTCGGCACAGATCCAATTTCCACACAGACTAATCTTCCTTCATGATCAGCAAGTAATTCATTGACGCTATACTCAAATCCACCCGGAACCAACACAGCAACACCTGCTTGTCCTGACTCTGAACCATGTGAGAAGAAAATTTGTCCCTTCCATTCATTCTTCCATGTGTTTTCCATCGACGGTCTAGAGTGTGTCTCTTGAAGAACAACGATACATTTTTTGTACTTTATTCGAAGATGACGAAAAATGGATCGTCTTTTGGTGCGATTGCGTAAGCCTCTCGTATTAAAGGAAACCACCGAAACTTCCTTCATGAACCAGCCTGTAGATTTACAGCAAGGCTATATGTTTTAAGAGGTCTTGGTTGTACCGGCACCACCGCCTGGCACAGACAAATATGGCAGTATATGCACGCCAAAGGAAACCTAGCACGTATATCACCAGTAAAACCATCATTTACAATGAAAAAAGAACTCAATACCTCTAGACCCCACACTTCCCATTCCCCTAACATTACGGCCGTCCGCAGGCTAGTCATATGGACCTCCTACAGACACAGCAGTGCACGAGCGTGCCGCTCCGGGCAGCAATTATCGACGCATAATGGCAGATCACTTCTCACAACAGGTTAAATGCGTCTAGTCAAAAGTCTGATACGTCTAAGCTATCTGTTACAGATCAGAAAACTTTTCCAAACGAGAATATACGTAGAAAATTGAGATGACACGTAAACAACTAAATATATAAATTAATGAATAATAAAAATGAATATCTTATGAAAAAAGCATTTCTATATTATCTTGGAGGGTTCACTAATACAAGACACAAGAAATTCGTCTAATACAGGCGTCATTGGTTAGCTGTACGTTAATGCTAGAAGACAAACATCTACCAAGAATCATCAAGGCGCTATTTAGGAGCACTTACTTCAACGACCAGTAAACGGACCGAACCCGGTGACGAAGACCTGCACCGGAAACGGTTTCCGGTGACCGCGCGCACCGGTCTCACCGGGCTCAGACGACTGACGTCACCGGGTCTCCAGAAGCGGCGACCGCCGGACTGTTCGGCACCTCACCGCGCGACTCCGTCGACGGCCTCGCGGCCGACACCGGCTCGGAGTTTGACGCGGCACAGGATTGCGCTGCAGTAGAACCCGGCTGTGGGGCACCGGATGAAGACGAAGGCGTTGATGTTCCCTTACCGGGCCCGGCCGAACGTACATACGGCGATGACGCCGCTTTTCCGCCGGAGGCACCCACCGCAGGGAGGACGCCCGAGTGAACAGAGGGCGGCGGCGGGCGGCCACGGTGCCGAGTCGAGAAACGGGAGCCGTCCAAGACTCGCCGGAGGGCGGCTTGATCAGCAACCATGATATTGTCGCCACGTTTCACACGCCGACAGAACACAACGCCACGTCGAGTGAACACCGACGCGATTTTCGCACCGTTACAGGGCTTACGAGCCTCGAGGAGTTCATTATAAATTGCTCTGTTGCTCGGGGTCAGGCTCTCATTTACATAAAGAGGTGACAGCCTTTCCTTGCGCGCTGAGTGAGCACTGCCGGAGTTCATGGAGAAGCGGCGTTCATAAATAGAGTCACGTACCCGCTGTTTCGCGAACTTCACGATCACTTTGTCGTCGCCCTGAAGGCGATGTGCGGTCTGTAAGTCTGCAGCGGTCAAGCGGATGTCCGGGTCGCGTTTGTTGATAACATCAACGACTTGTTGTTCGATCTCTTCATTTGGCCGACGCTTCCCGAAGTCCGAGCAGGTGAAAATCAGCGAAGTCATCCGCCCGTTCATGTCCATGGATTCTACCTGCTTCTGCAGCTCAATATTGACGTGAACTTGCATCTCTAGGGTAAGGGCGGGTAAGAGGACGCAGGCGACAAGAGTACGCAGCAGCTGTTTCGGTTGCTTAGCAACGCCTCATCAGCGTCATCTCGAGTCCTAAGGAAGCTGTCTCTCACGCGGCTTCGATGGTGGAAGGTGGGGGCGCTACGGGTTCACTTGTCTTTTTTAGAGGCTTAGACGTGTTTTTCACATCGCTTTTAGATTTTTTGGGGTGCAGGAAAAGGTGTGACCTTCCTCAGGGAGCGGCAATAGAATTTTCATTTTTTCCTATCAAGATACCGCGGGGAATTTGGTGTGTGTGTCAAGTCCCAATTGTTTACGCGACGACTGTGGCGCCAGCTCTCAGCCCGCTTTGTGTCTACCGTATGTGTCGGCCATGAGTACGCATTGCCGTGGCGGACAGGAGTACGCAACTTTCCGAGTGCGTGGTTGTGTTGCATTAATCAACTTAGTGCATCAGGCGCGCAACCCCTCAGCAGATTCACGGGATTGGCCAACAAGGTGGATGACACTCGGGGAGACGCCGAGCAGTTGGGGAAACCACGAAGAGCATCACTGTTTCTGGTAGACCAGGGGGCATTTGCACGACCACAGCGGGGCGCCTCGACTCTGTTAAGAGTGACCGTTTTAGTGGCTGCGGCAGTAAAGATAACAATAGTTTAATTACTTGCATGAATGCATTGATTCCAGCGAGTAGGAATGCATACACGTAGTGCGTACTCCACCCGCACGAAGTGCGTACTCTTGTACTGCCTATCGGGCAAGAGTACGCAAATGCAGGGTGTTAGAAAATTGCTTACGGTCACGCTTTAAATTGGACGTAGGCCGCTGTGGTCATTGCAGTTTGTGGACAAATGATCAGGCTTTATCGGAATATACTGATCGTAGCCGTAAACCAAAACCGAACGGCGTGAGACGACAAAATGCATTAGGTGCGTACTCTTGTACGGTCCTCCCCTAATTGTTCAGATAATCTTCTGATTTCTATGTCGCGATTCATTTCTTCACCCTCAAGAATGGAGATCCTCTTTTCAAGCCGATCAAATTTGGCCTCAAACGCAGAAATGACCTTTTGTATGCCGTCACCGATCATTTGCTGTATGGCGCTCAGCGTCTCGGTGTTCAGCCCCACCCCGGCCCGACCGGACGCCGGGGCGGCCAGCCCTGTAGCCCGGGGCAACGACCGGCCGCCCGGCGCCGCCGGGACGGGAGGGCCGCTGCCCCGGGCCGCACGTTTTGCGTTACGTTCTTCGACGCGTCTCACCATGTCAGAAACGGAAGATCGACGCTTGCGACGACCACTTTCTGTGCCGGAAGTAGCACAGTCGGTGGAAAAGGCTCCCTCACTGTCTGAATCTGAAGTCATGGTGTTTGAAGGCGACTGGATCCGGTGAACAGCGCAATAGATATTTCCTCACCTCTTATGTACGAGCACACAGCACTCGGTAGCAATTCACAAAAAGTCGCTCTGCCGCCAACCTCACTTAACACTGGCCGCTGCCCGGGCGTGCACTGAGCAGCGCTCACGCCACTGCCATGACTGGAGCCGCGGACGGGCGACCCGACCTCGGCCACGGTCAGCCGCCGACTTACCGCTCTTGAAGTTTAGGTGCACTTCAACGAGGCCAGGCCAGGTAGCACATACTGCGCACCTGGCAGAAGTCAGACATACCCCTTAGCCTTCCCGACTGCCTCGACCCGCGGCGTAGCGGCCATGGTGAAAACATCCGGCGGTGGGGTCACCGGCACGTGATCCCTCAGATAGCCCAGGGGCGGACAGCTGGGTCGGGTAGGGTTCGGATTGACAGTAGTGCCCGGCGTCTCGCAGAAGTGGGTCTAGTGTGGTGACATGGAGTTAGGGACCACGGAATTGCGGCGGACCACAATCATGAATCACGGTCGCGGAGACCACAGAGGACCACAGACGGCAGGCCCAGCAACAGGAGCAGCCAGAAAAGCTTCGTGGTGAGTCGTCAGGCCAGCTTTCCTGGCACTTCCCGCGTAATTTAGATGACTGGCTGTGTGTGACTGTGAGCTGGCCCCCTCTTCAATCGGCCCCGCAGCCGAGTCCGATGCCGTCCCCGCTCGTTCCATCCTGCGGTGTTGATACCTGCCACCACCGCAGCACCGAGCTGGCGGAGCTGCGCCGACCATAGATGTCACTGCCATCGGATCTCAACCCTCGCAAAGCTCCCTGGAGCCGGGAGCGTCCTCCACTGCCCAGAGTGACATTTTTGTGACCGGTGACCCGACCTCCTTAGCCTGGAAATTGTACATATTACAGGAAGTGTAGTCAAAGTGTAGTAGTTACAACGTAAGGTGTTACCTTTTGTTCAAGATATAGGTATCAACGTGCGCCCCGCTGGGATTTCTACGCCGTGCTGGGGGGGGGGGGGGGGGGGGTGAAACATCCCGACTTCTAACTCAGCTCCTGGGGTACGCAGCGATACGAAGAAGGCGGCGTCCGAAAGAGCGTAAAAAATAATGTTTGTCACTTTTGTGGTCAGGTCAAAGGTCAGGTTACCGGAGGTCAATGAAGGCCATATTTCGTCGATTTTTAGGTCGGTCACAATTCTCAGCAAACCAACACCGGCGCTAACTCGGAAACCAATAAAGCTACAGCGCGCCGGAAAAGCGTATTTGATAGCCCTTTTGAACGGTCATCTGAACAACTCTCTCAGATTTGACCTAAGGTCAACGGTTTTGCCTGCAGGAGGAACATCTGTGAAAACAGCCGATTTTTGCGGAAAGTTTGATCTGCAATCACTTTTGACTCAAACCTTGCACGAGCCTACTTTTACCGGTGTCGTGTTCCTCTCGTCAAGACGCATCGAATCGACTATAATTTGACCTTGAAAGGTCAACTTTAATTCTAACTTCAGGTCAAGGCTATGACCCGAATGGAAACGGTCATGTTGCATATCAGTCGATCCGTATCGTTGAGCCGGGTACAGCTAAGGCATTTTCGCTGCTCTAGCATGCCTCTATCAAGAGTTATTCACGAAAAACTATTAGATATCATTCGTGACATGACATGACCTGCAGGGGCATGAATAGGGGTCACGGGTGCCATTTTCCAGTTCAGTGTGTCATAGTTACACTTGTTATTCAGTGTTTGAGAGTGTTTAGAATGACGTTTTTTTTCAAAAGAGGCGGCTCTCAATTTTGTTCCGTTGACGTAACGCGGAGGTCGCAAAATTGACCTGACCTTATCTCACTGATATAAAAATTCGGAGACATACGTTTGGTTTGGTACATAGTACATACTAATGTTCTTATCAATCTCTAAAAGTTTAAATGCGATTCGTCACTCGGTGTTGACCTAAAGCAGACACTGAAACTTTTTATGAGGTGAGGTCACTTGAAGTGACCTGGTATAAACCTGACCTTGAGGAATTTTGTTCTGAACTTTTCTTACCATGTTTAAAAAATATGTATGATAAAGTGTGTCCAAAACGTCGACGCTTTGCGCCGCCGTTTTTTTTCTTCTTCTTATAGATAGGTATTCCCGAAAAAAAACACAGGTGGGTGTTCAAATGCCCCCCCCCCCCGCAGGGCGCGGGTTAATAAACGCCGTAACGGTTGATCCGTGACTTCATCGACCATCGTTTAGCCCTCGCTCTTTTAGGGGAGGGTCGTACGGACTCCCTCGTTTTTCACACATAGGTAGCTCACGGATGAAGCGGATCGCGACGAATTTTTTATCATTCGCGGGTCAATGAATTTTACAGTCTTTAAAATTTCATGACTCTGACCTTATTGACTTAATTGACCTCTGATGTTTCTCGTGGTCATGTTTGGCCGGATGGCAATACGACGCAAGTCACATTTAAGACTTTTTGTGATTAGAAACGTGCCAACCTAATGTTTGTGCCATGGATTATGGTGGATGTTAGTGTCACGTCAAGGTCAGGTCAAGGACATTTATCTTAAGTGACCTCGGTTGACTTTATTGAAAGGTTGAACGGCTGAGAAGGGATGGTCGACCCTATTGGCAAGCGGCTGTAAAAATGTCAGGACGGGCGAGGGTTAATTCATATGATTTCATTGAAGTACCTACAACAAAATCATTTCGTGAGTCAATCAAGTATCAACACATATGTCATAACAATAGAAAATGTCTTCTTATCTGTTTGCCCTGTAGCGAGGGAATTAAGAAAAGAAGAAAGAAGGAATAAAAAGAGCTGCATCTTCTTTGCGGTTCATCAACCACCTCAGTCCGCTGTTGTTCGGCTGGTTTAGCAGAAGAGAGAGAACAATTTGCTGCTGTACTGAACTCGATAGTAGAGCTGGTAGAACAGGGGAGCTTGAGAAGAGTCTTGGAAAAGATCTTGAGTTAGCTATAGAGAGGGATCCAGATAGTGATGAAGATGAGATCCTGAGATAGAGATGTAGATATCCTGATAGAGATCTTCACTGACGTCCACCTGGGAGAGATGTAGATACAGAGCCACCCTGAAGAAGATGTAAGTCTAGATCCACCTTGCGTACAAATACATCTGATGGAAGATGCTTTTTAAATTGGAGGCTTGATGATTCTGTTCATTGTATAGACCATGATGCACGAGATGCTTCTTCACTGCTCGGATTAGGGATAGAGGGATCCGATCAGCTGGGTTTGCAGCACAGTTGGGCAGGTGAAGGACAGGGCATTCGAAGTCCCGATGACCACTGCCAAACATATGGGTGGTAATTACATTGATTAATTGAATGTGATCATTCGTCCAGTCACCCATTCCTATATCACTGGCCTCCCCATTACAAAAATTGCCCGCTTAGTTCGTATTAGCGTTGCTAGTTTAGTTGCCCTCGAGAATCATTTGTTCGACTGCCATAACCGAATTCTACCAAATTCCTATCGGCCTTACTCTAAGATTCATGCGTCATCATTCTCACATCCTTGCTCGCATTACGTTCACATTTCATGTATTCACCCAAATTTAATTGGTAGCCCCCGAAATTCCCTCCGATAGTGTTAGGCGTCTTACAAACCATGGTCTCCCCGGCGAGATAAATGTCTCTTTCCGAAATCCATATGCATGCTCCGCTAACCGGCGACAAAGATACTTATCGCAGGGCCGTCCAGAATAATTATACACAAATATCCACCCTACTAATTTATGGGATTCACTACACGTCCGATAGACTTATGGTACACACATACACGATTTATATCCGACTTATCTCTCTACCGGGAGAGATTACCTATGCCCTCTTCCGGTCCGCGTGTAACATTCCCGTTCACGACCCAGGGACCACCGTTCATATCCTGGAACTCTCCTCAGGAACTCTCCTTAAACCATGGGATTTACTCTTCAAGGCCTTACGTGTCCTGGAGTACATTCTTCCCTCCCCTGAGGCTGTCCAGTACCGATTAAGGTACCTTTACAAAATAAGTATGAGGACTTATTCGGGACACTACGGCGCGCCTTATCCGCACTTTTGGGTGACTCACCCCTGACCCTCGGCTTCTTGCCTTTGGCATAACTTACTCTCCACTGCACACTGTGCCAATCTTCCCCTTCCCCCTGCCGTAGAAACCTCTCACTGCCTTCTCACCCAGTGTTACCTAAGCGGGAAAATTAACAGTGGCCGGTACCACTGGCGGAAAACGTGCATATGCCCTGCGTACGTGACGGCGTGTCCCTCTTATTATTCCGGTCTGGACGTGGGTTTAGAGAAGTGCATCTGTGTCTCATACGGTCATGCTGGTAAACGCTACGCCATAGGAGACGGGCAAACAAGCCGTCTGTGCCTCACAATGCCCTGTGCCAATATTGGTGGAGTAATTATTGGCGCTAACTCTCAAGAACGCGAATAACAGAAACGCATCTAATCGTAATCTCAAGTCCTAATTGCTGCTGCACGCGTGAACCTAATCATCAGTTCTCGTAAACAATCCTAGCAGACCTTGAACCGCTCTTGATTTCATCAGATAATCTAGAACCAATTAGTACGCACCGATCTGTCGTCTGGTTGTGATCCACCGTATCATAGTGAATTGCTGAATGCTCAAACGGAAATGACTCCTTGAAACTCGTTCGATAGCTTCTGATGGGCTACTAGTTACCTAAACAAATTATCTTTATAGAGTGCCAGAATATTGTCATAGGGTCCCTAGCCTTTCATAGGGAATCTATTTTAAATCATCCTATTAGCAGTAAACAA